GTTTTGGCTCCCATTCTCGTAACCCCTGACTCCACACGTCAGTTCGTGGTGGAGGTCGATGCCTCAGAGGTGGGGGTAGGTGCGGTGCTATCCCAGCACTCTTCCTCGGACGACAAGATGCATCCTTGTGCGTTTTTTTCCCATTGTTTATCACCTGCTGAACGTAACTATGACATTGGTAACCGAGAGTTGTTGGTGGTCAAGTTAGCACTGGAAGAATGGCGTCATTGGTTAGAGGGGTCGGGGGTTCCCTTTATTGTCTGGACCGATCACAAGAACCTCAAGTACATCAGATCCGCCAAACGACTTAACTCCAGGCAGGCTCGGTGGGCACTCTTTTTCGGTCGCTTCGACTTTACTCTTTCCTATCGCCCGGGTTCTAAGAACATCAAACCCGATGCGTTGTCTCGCGTTTTTGAACTTTCCGAGCGCCCGTCCACTCCCGAGAGTATTTTGCCTGAGAGACTCGTCATCTCTGCTCTCGTATGGGAGGTCGAGTCGAAGGTCCGCACGGCCTTAGAAGGGGTAACGCCTCCGCCCGGTTGCCCACGGAGTCGGTTATTTGTGCCGGAGAGGTTACGGTCCGACGTCATTCGGTGGGGTCCAGCGTGGCTTGTCATCCAGGGGTGAATCGGACTAGTTTCCTCGTAAGACAGCGACTCTGGTGGACGTCTATGGCTCGTGACGTCCGAGATTTTGTTTTGGCCTGCTCAGATTGCGTTCGTGGTAAGACTTCCAATCGACCCCCTGACGGGTTACTTCAAACGCTGTCGGTCCCTTCGAGACCCTGGTCCCACATCTCGCTCGATTTCAACACTGTCTTCCCACCCTCCCAGGGCAATACGGTGGTATTGACCATAGTGGACCGTTTCTCGAAGGGGGCCCATTTCATTCCCTTGCCCAAATTACCCTCAGCCAAGGAGACAGCGGTTACTGTCATTGATCACGTCTTTCGCATTTATGGCCTCCCGATGGACGTGGTTTCCGACAGGGGACCCCAATTTGTTTCCAAATTTTGGAAGGAGTTTTGTAGATTACTGGGGGCGAGTGTCAGTCTATCCTCTGGTTTCCATCCACAGAGTAACGGCCAATCGGAGTGGGCCAATCAGGATCTTGAGAGAACGTTGCGATGTTTGGTTACTCAGAATCCTTCCTCCTGGAGCCCAACAACTCTCATGGGTGGAGTATGCGCACAACTCGTTACCAGTGTCATCCACGGGCCCATCCGTTTGAATGTAGCTTAGGGTACCAGCCACCTATTTTTCCCAGTCTGGAATCCGAAGTCGCGGTTCCCTCCGCTCACGCCTTCGTCCAGAGGTGCCGTCACACTTGGAAAAGAGCCCGAGAGACTCTTCTCCAAGTGAGGCACCAAGGCTCAGGCCAATCACCACCGGTCGAAGCCTCCCGTTTACGTCATTGGTCAAAAGGTGTGGCTTTCCTCCAAGAATATTCCTCTCCGATCCGTTTGTAATAAGCTAGCTCCCAAATTTATTGGCCCGTTTTCTGTCACCAAAGTTCTCAGTCTGGTGGCAGTCCGTCTCAAACTTCCTCTGGCATACAGGAGAATTCATCCCGTGTTCCATGTCTCCAAATTAAAACCTGTTTTTCGTTCACCCATTAATCCGCCTGCCCCGGTTCCCCCACCGCCGCGTCTCATAGACGGGGAACCCACCGATTTGGTTAACCGCATTCTGGACTCAAGACGGAGGGGACGCGGATTTCAGTACTTGGTGGACTGGGAAGGTTATGGTCCGGAGGAGAGAAGTTGGGTTCCTGCTAGGGACATTCTGGACCACTCCCTTATTGATGATTACAATCAACAGGTAGGTTCGTCTGGGAG